TTTAGATTTAGAACATTTATATTTTTCTACAATTTTAAGAGCCACTTTCTGTGTCAGTTTACTTTGCTTAACAAAGTTGAATACTCATTGTATGCACATATCCAACAATTGAAACTATTAAATTCTAAACTATACAGATATTAGGATACTTGAAATTGATCATGTCTAAAATGCAATGGTACTTTAGTAATTTTTCCAGTTACAATATGCTTCATGACAACTATAACATTTAACACATAACAAAACAGAGAATTTGTTTCATTGGACCTCTTTCATTTCAATTGGTTTGTAAGAGTCATCATTCAATGCATGCTTTCCTATATTTCATATAATATAATTATAATAAAAAAAGATGAAACACAACATTCAAATTAAATTATATATGCTAAAATTCATAGACTCTTTAAATGTTGTCTCTTGAATAGAATTATTACATTATTGGTATTTAAATTTTATTTTCATATTATTTTGTATTATCTTTTTTTTGCATGATTTCATGTGAAATATGTTTATTACATCTTCTCTTCACTACATATCATAATGTCACAAAATTATTTATCTAGAATTATTGTCTTAATTTAACTTGCTCCAAATATTCCATATGAAACACTAAACTTAAAGAAAGGAACAGACTATATGGAATTTATTTACATAAAATAATATCAAATAGAAATATTTAAATGTTACTTTGAATATTAAAATATCTTTAACATAAATGTATATAATTGTATAAATATTGGGCCATTCATTCCTATTTCTAGCAATATATTCTATTCTTATGTGATGAGTTAGACTATAATTACAAAACAAATAGCATAAAATTAAAAATAATTTATAAGATTTGTTTAGTATTTCATCAAAAAGAAATTCAAATTTATTTATGATATGAAGTTATGTTTGGTATTTTTCTCAAAAAGACATAAATAACTTTACATGAATTGTGCTTAGTCCCTTGCAGATATGTCTTCAAAAAATGAATTTTCATTATAATACATAATAAAATCCAAATTCCATATTATAGCATTACTATTAATTTTATAATTAACATGTGTAACATACATTATTTTCCATTATCAAAATTCCAAAGATGATATATAGTTATGGTTTATCAAGGCATGTATATGTATATCATTTCCTTTTGTTTTTATATTGGGCAATGTGTTGTTAAACAGCAAATACAAGTACATTTCAGATATATGTTTTTACTGTAAACATTTTATTTTAAAATATATCTGTAGTAATTTAATAATAGGATAATTTAACTGTGATAAACTATATCTTGTAAACATGATTTTATTTCAAATTTAAAATGGTTTTTCTGAATGTAAAAATTATTCTTTTAATTGAATTATATTTCTTGTAATATATACATTTCATATTGTGCTATTAAAGACAACATTTATATAATTGTGAAGCATACTTCAAATTTTCAAAAAGAAAGCAAAATATGATATTCTAATACTGGATTATAGTAATTGTTGCTTTACATAGCTTTAAGACTTCTTGCAACATTAGAAATTATATCAAAGAACACTTATGTATCCAAAGATTTTGAGTGTTTTCAAACTGTTAAATGGTGCATTTTAATGATTGCAAAATCTGTGTTTCACACACTGCCAATTAAAGTGGTATTACTTTTAGCATTCTAAATTAGTATACCTTTTCAATAAAATGGTTGTGCATATGAGTGATATACCTGGATATTATGGAGGATTTTATTGGCTTAAAAAGGACATCAGTGTTACTTCTTTATAGTTCCACTGTCTGTACCAAACATATCTAACTAAATTCAGAAGCACTTTTACTTTTTATTAGATGTAACCACTTTCCACTATATAAATATTTGAACATTCTAAGAAAATCTCTTTCACACTAATGAAGTTAAATTTCAGATTTTGGGAATGATGACAAAAAACTTGAAGTAATTCTTACTTAGGCAAATAAATTTTCAGATTCCACACTTTTTCAAAGAAATGTTTTTGAAAGTTAAAAAGAAAAATATTTTGTTTCTTTTGTAATTGTTCTTTATTTATATCACTGTTTGAAATTTTTTTTGCCATTGTATAAAAGATAATCATATTTTATTTGCAAAATTTTAGGCATATTATTATTATTTTAGCTTTATTATTGAATTCATTTATTCATCTATTCTTTCTTTTAATGAACAGTTATTGAGCAATTACTATGTGTTATAGATACTGGGGTTTCAACAGTGAACAGAATATACAAAAATCTTAGCATTCAGGGAGTTTACATTCTAATATGGCAAGGAAAGAATATGAATGCAATATGTAGCTAAAGCAAAATAACCAGTTAATACAACATTTGCTTGAAACATGTATTTAGTTAGACTGTAGTTATTGAAGTAGTTACTGATGAGAGCTCTGGTGGTGTAGTGCCTAAAGCATTTGACTGCTAACAAGAAGGCTGGTGGTTCAAACCCACCAGCCACTCCTGGGAAGGAAGTTTGGGGAAACTACTTCCGTAGTGATACCGCCTTGGAAACCCAAGGAGGGATCACTATGATTTGGGTCCGAGTCAATGGCAGTGAGTAGTTATTGAAGAAAAGGAATTTCTTATGCTTTATTCCCACATTCAGTTTAAGGGGATGGTACTGAGTCCCCATCACCATTAGGTGAAGTTCTGCTACTGAAGTTCTATTCCTGAAAATTTTAACATCACATTGCTTGCAAATCCTGGGCCTAATCCCTACCAAAGGTCAGTTTTAACTCTCAGATTTATTCTGAAAGTGTATTTATTCTCTGGTATCTTTGAAATTGGTCTACAGGTCTTGGGGTGATTATGGAAGCATCCTAAATCCATTCCCAAATTACCCCAGAATTGTTGTCCCTAATGCCAGAGATTATTTGGAATTAGTCAAAATCATCTTGGTGATGTGAGACAATAAATGTCTTCAATTTACCTCTTTCTTAGACTAGCATCAGAGTGCACATTGCATGTATTTTGATAACTTTTCTATTTAGTAACATATTTATAGTTCTGTAGTTTACCTCTTTAAACTACACTTAGAGTTTGGAAGTAATAAGGAAGTTATGAAGAGTTTTAAAATATTAGTTTTTAATCTTGCTTTCATATTTACATTGCAAAATGGAAGACTCAAGTAAATTCCTCAGGAAAATAAAATAGAAAATTTTGTGGATAGCAATTGAGAGTAGAGCCATCCCTAAGGTATTATTTACATTGAGATCAGTTAATGGGCTTTAGTAGTGTACGTATAGGTGTTAAACATATGATTTACAAAAAAAAAAAAAAAAAAAACCTGCCGAATATAAGCTTAGTAAATATCAAAGGCCAACCTATATTTGCATAACCAACATGAAATAAGTAGATTCCAATTTTTACAAAATAATGAATACTTGATGGAATTTTTCTTTGATTAGGGCTTAAAAAATAGAATAAACATGTTAACTTGATAATTGTCATACCTCATTTACTTCAGGTCGTCTAAAAAATTGGCATTTATTTATTTGCTTAATTAATTTCTGTTTTAAGTTAAATGAAGATAGGAGATATGTGGTTACTAGAATGAGTACCAGACATATTTTTTTTTCTTGTTTATGAATTAGGGACCCCACTTTTGGTTTCCTTTTTGTATTTATAATAAATGTCCTACTAATTACCTACCTACAGTACCAGAGGGGAGAAAAAAATCCTATGATTCTGAAACCAAATTTAGTAGTATACCATTTTTTTTCCCCTTTCTGGCTGATTAAAATATCCCAAAGTATTCTAGTTAAATATAAAGTACCTAATTAACATTGTCGAGAGAATTTTGAAGTGCATTTTATTAAGAAGGCAAATGTGTACAACTATATACCATTCACTGGCTTTAAAAAATATTCAGAAGCCTTCTAACTTTGACCTATGATTCTTAATTAGTAGCTGCAGCTCCAAATTCTTGTTTTCCTTGTTAAGCAATTTTTAGCTGTTAAAATCTTAAAGATATATCCTTATTCAGTTCATGCTTCTATTATAAGCTTACATTTTATATTACATAAGAATTATGTATTATCAAGAAAAACCTTTACAAATTTTAAGTAAAAGGAAGAACAATACCCTAATTTAGCAAAATGGATACATATTTTAAATTATAAGAAAATGTAATAAGGTTAAGAATATAGTAGTATTATTACCCATACTTGTACCATTAAATGCTTATGAGTTATTTGGAAGTTCCCCAACAATTTGTTCAAGCTGGGATGTATGGATAAAAGCTCTGCTGTGATTAATACTTAATTATAACAACTTGCAAGTGAAAAATTTAATTTTAATTATTGGAAAATAGGCTAATCTGTATTTTACTTGAGAAGTAGAGAACTATCACTCAGTTTCATAAAAACTCCCTCAAATTCTAAAGGATATGTAGCTCATAATATTGAATATCTTATCATGTTTGCTTTCTGGAGAATGAGATTAAGATAGACATTTATATAAAGTAAATTCAGTCTTTTTTTTATTTTAATTACTTCATTTTTGTTTGGCTTTTATTTTATTTTATTTTTCTTCATTTGCCTGTCTTAAAATAGACACTTTACATATATTTTTCCCCAGAAATTATGAAGAATTATGGTACAGACCCTTCAAAGCATACTTTTGAGAAATGTGTGGTTACATAGTTACCCATTCTGTCAAAACCTGTCACTTGCCAGGCATTTCTTGCCAAAAATCAACTGTAGATTTAAAAAAAAAAAAGAAAGCCTGATTTAAAGCCACACACACACAAAAAAAACGGGGGTTTACTGTTTCACATTTTTTAAAATGTGTATTTATGTGTAATATCTATCCATAAGTTTGTTTATACAAACAAAACAACATATCTGGTGTGTTTCACATTTTAGTGGTGTGTTTTTTGGCTCTTCGTGTTGATTATCCTTAAGGTAATAGAAGGGAATATAATTTATTAAACTGATCAGAAAAAAATAAAAAGCAAACACAATTTAAAAGAAAAAGTTAGCATCTAGTGCTACTGTGTCCCACAGGTTCTTCTCCATTGACCCACACTACCTCCACTGGTGAGTTAGAGGAACATAACAGGACTACTACTGGTGCTCTTGCTGTTGCTAGCACATCTGCAGATGTTACTGTATCCAGTGTTACAGCTGTCACCATCCATAGACTTTCCGAGGAACAGCGAGTGCAAGTTACGAATCTCAGAAATTCAGGTCTGGACCCCAACACGTCCAAGGACGGGCTTTCACCTCATCAAGCAGATACACAAAGTACAAGCAGAAGACCAAGAAATGCTGAACAGATAGAAAGAACTAAAGAGCTTGCAGTTGTTACTCATAGAGGTATTGGATGTTATTTTACTTGTGCCCATTTAGTTACAACCAAAGCTATGTTTTGGTAATGCTTCTAATTAGAGAGTGGGCTGAAAGAGAGCCAAGTTATAGAAAGTTAAAAAAAAAAAAAAAAAAAAAAGTTAAATAAGAGCCTGTAAAATATATAGATAGGAATAGCCAAAACTTGCTTAATTGGAAAGCAGGCAAATTTTTAAAAAAACTAAATAGCAATGCAAATGTTGGGGGAAAGGATAAGAGCAGCAGGAAAAGAATGCACAAAAGGGATAGTAAAAATAAATATTAAATACCTATTGCTTTTTACACATCAGGTATGATACTGAGATAGTGTGAAAATAGCCACTTTTTATTAATAACTGTACATATTTACACATGAACCGTTTATGCCATGTAGTGATTTTCAGTATTTGCATGAGATTTTTGTGTTATACAAATGCAGCTAAAATTTGAGAAAATAGAAAATTTCATTGGGAAAAGTGGAAACATTATATCTGGTGATTGTTTATATATATATGCTCTGTTATTTCTAAATTAGTTTTTCCCTGACCCGTACAATTGCACTGAAAGCCAATTTCTCATTTTGTTAATAAAACAGCTATTGATTGATATTATGGCTCCAATATTTAAATATTCCTTAAGTTATCTAATTTATTTGTTAAAGAAAATTAATACAATAACGCCAAATCATAGATTGTTAATTTTCTAGTCAATTAATATAAGTCTACCTTAAATTAAGCAGCATATCAAATGTGTTTTTCTGTTTCATGGTGGGAAAATTTCATAGAGCAGATCTTTCATAGAGAAAATCAATGTTGTGTCAAAAGTAAAAGGATTTCATTTATATCAATAAATGCATCAGTGGAAAAAATAATTAACTGAACATATTTGAAATACAAAATATCTATTCCATTTCCAACTTATCATATGTTCTATAAATTGGTTATAATTTCAGTAGTGCAATTAGATGAGGTTATAAGTAATGGAAAACCATTCAATGCTGAGAGTCCACTAAGGAGAGAAATCAAGACATCTTTGCAGTAATTAATTGAAACTAATACAGAAATACCTCAGATACTCATTTCCATTCAAACTCACAAAGAAAGTACATATTTTGATTCTAACAAGAAACATTCCGAAATAAATTGTCAACATTTGATAGTCTCCTTTTTAAAGAACTAAATCGTCATCATTTTGCTTCTTTCTTTACATTCCTACCATCAATATTTCCACTCATCAGCATATAGTGATTGTATCAAAATTTTTAATATATTAAATATTCATAAAATTTTCCAGTAATATATCAGACAGTGTTTCATTGCTATTCATATTCACTGTATATTAAGTATATGGTTTCTTCTTATTAAACCAAAAAAAAAAAAAAATTCACTGCCATTGAGTGGGTTCCGACTCACAGCGACCCCTCCTTGGGTTTCTGAGGCGGTATCTCTACAGAAGTAGATTGTTCAGTCTTCCTTCTGAGGACTGGATTCTTATTAGGAAATAAAAATTCATAAAATTATATTAAAATAGTAAGGAAAACCTACTCTGCTTTTATTTTTCTACTTGCTTTGGAACATTTCATTTGCTAACTTAAAACTGACAAACATCCCTGTCACAATGGATTTTCTGACATAGTTTATTGTAGAAATGAATTAAAATACCAATGATTCTTTACCCAAAGTTTGTCATCAAATGATATGAAAACTCTGAGGTTACATCAATACTTTGTAGAACTAGGAAATGTAATTCAAACTGAAAAGAGAAAAGGCAGTAGTAAATTGTTAGATTAAGTAAATGACCTGAAGAAAGTACAATCAAAATTTTCAAGCATATTCAAGTAAATCCCAGTTAATCATCAAGAGTTCTTCCTTGGTAAATTCCAATTAAGTGGTCAAATTTCTCCTTAATTACTATAATAATCTAATATTATTTGACAGATAGCACCTATTTCATCTTTCCTTATTTTAAATAATTTTATTCCTAAATATAATCTATTCATTCAAAAAACAACAAACTCATGCTGTCAAATTGGATCCAACTCATAGGAACCCCTCCTTGGGTTTCTGAGGCAGTATCACTATGGAAGTAGATTGCCCAACCTTCCTTCCGAGGAGTGGCTGGTGGGTTTGAACCACCAGCCTTCTGGTTAGTAGTCAAATGCCTTAGGCACTATGCCACCAGAGTTCCGTCTATTCATTCACTGATGCCATTTACCTTGGATATACATATTCCCCAGTCACTGATATTTAAATTATTTATATGAAAGTATTTTGAATGTTATATTCATTATTATTATTGACTTAAACTATCATTGTAATGTCATGAAATATCTTATTTTATTAAAATTGGTCCTTCTCACTCTTCATTATCTTACTATTATTCCAATTGACCATTATCTACTATATTTAAACATTAACTATTAACCTTATGTCCAAAATATAATGTCAATTTTAGGGGTAAAGGAAGCTCATTATTTTTTTGTATATTGCTTAACACTTTAAAAAGCCTTCAAAATGCAGTTATAAGTTTTCAAATACAAAACAGTCTTCAAAGACTAGATTCCTAACAGGGCCAGATGTCAAATTGGAATGGGTTAACTTCAAAACAATGTTCTTTTTTAAAATAATTCCAACTCAAGCAGCATTATCTGAAGTGCCTCCTCTCTGCTAGGCTATGTTCTAGTGGAAACTAAGATAAAAAATATATGACCCCTATTTCAAGAGATTTCTGTACAGTGGAAGACAGAAAGAAGCCCATCCTCAAAGTACAAGGACGATTTTGTAGAATTCATGGGTAATCAGAGTGCCACAGAAAGTACAGTGCTTTCTCAGGCAGTAGTTCATTTATGCCTTTCTAAATATCTACAAATGTAATCTAAGAACAATTGCTTGATTTTTCTAGATATTCCAGAGGAAAAAAAAAAATCTTATTCTTATAATGGGAGCTCTGGGCATAGTGCTTAAGGCACATGACTGCTAATCAGAAGGTTGGCGGTTCAAACCCACCTCGGGAGGAAGATTGGGCAATCTACTTCTGTAGTGATACTGCCTCATAAACCCAAGGAGGGGTCACTATGAGTCGGAGAGAACTCAATGGCAGATAACAACATTCTTATAATACATTTCCCATATTGTAGTCAGAATGTCCTTTGAAAAAGGAAACTCTGAGGACATAATTTCACAGTTTTAATACTTTTCGTCATTTCCAAATGACCTTAGGAATAAAGCAAGACCTGATAATGACTCATGGTGACTTGTGTGGTCTGGCTTTTGCCCATCTCTCCAAGTTTATCTCATGCCACTTTCAAAATCACTCTCTAATTTCTGGACAAAGAGAATTTTAGTTTTAGTTTGTCAAACATACCATGCTCTTTTCTACCTCAAGCCGCTCTCATATTTTATTCTTCCTTCTTAACCAGCTCATTATAATTCACTTTTAAGGTTTTAGCTTAATTGTCACCTCATCCAGAAGTTTAGGTCTTCATACCCTGCATGTCTCCTTCTATTTATATTCCCGTTGACTTCCCCTGTAGAATTTAAGCTTGATGAAGGTAGATAGTGGATAGGTCTCGTTCAGAAAGCATTCTCAGTGCATAGTAGACTTTGTGAGTGCTCTGGTGGCATTTGACTGCTAACCAGAAGGCTGGTGGTTTAAACCCACCAGCCACTCCTTGGAAGGAAGACAGGCCATCTACTTCCATAGAGATACCATCTTGGAAACCCAAGGACGGGTCACTATGAGTCACAGCAGTGAGTTTGGACTTTTTTTTTTTGTTTGTTTTTTAGTAGACTTTCTGGCCTACAGAATTATTTTTAAAATATTTGTTAAATAGATATTTATAACTTCATTAGTTACAGTGTATACCTTAATTATCCAAAAGCCTTGAAATCATTATTCATCTTCTTAATGTAAAGAACATATCTAGATATTCCAATATTAAAGTTAACAATTTCATTTTGTCATAGTTATAAAAAGGTTATAAAAAGGTTAATGATTTTCAATGTTAGTGCACATGAGCCACTTTTGCAGGTAACAATATTTTAATGAACCCACACTAATATATTGTTTTTTATTACCTTATTACTTCATAAATTATAACATAAAACTAAGGTATTAATACCTTGCTATAATCCTTATAAACAAACAAATAAACAGCAAACAAAACCCACTGCCATTGATTTGATTCCAACTCATAATGACCCTGTAGGACAGAGTAAAACTGTGCCATATAGGGTTTCTAAAGCTGTAAGTCTTTACAGAAGCAGACTTTCACATCTTTCCCTTATAAAAGGGCTATGTGTTTGAACCACCAAACTTCAGGTTCTCGGCTGAGTGTTTAACCACTAACACCACCAGAGCTCCTGGTATAATTTTTGTACATCTTTAAAATCAAAGGAACTTCATAAACAAATAGTAGTAAAACTATAAAATTATTAAATTTTATATAAACAAATATTAAATGTTATACGAGAGATATTTTGTTGGAATTTAAAGCAAAAATATAATAGCACTTCCTAGAGAACAAGTTCCTTTGACACTGGAAAATCTATGCTTTGTGACAATTATTTATTAGTTTTCTCCATTCACAGAATAATTAAACTTTCCTTTTTACAGCATATTTTGATCAGCACTAGTTCTCAATCTGGTTCCAAAAGCCTGAGAGAACACAATCATTTCTAATTGTCAACAATATTATTATAAGCACAAACAACCCAGAGACAATGAATTTACATACAGTATTTGATTGTTGGTACTTTGTGTATGGACTCAAAATTAATGTGTTAATTTTTGATAAATTAGATATTACATCACTGTAATGATTTTATTTTAAACAACAGTTGTAAAATTAGTTAATGATCTGAAAAACATTATCATATTTAGCAAAGATTATTTCAAACCCCTATAGGGTACTAGTTCAATTGATTTTATAATGGTACTATAGTTAAAATGAAAGGAGCTCTGGTGGCACAGAAAGATGCCCTACCTAAGGC